GCAGCGTTGGGCGGAAATCCGGCAGTGCTGTTGGAGGAGGAGGAGGCGAACCAGCCTGCCACCGCCGGCCACCGTCAGCCCCGCCGCTCTTCCCACCCCCTTCCCAGCCCCACAGTCCAGCGGATGCAGCAGAAACAGCCCTGGGTCTCTGCTGCCGCTCCCCGCATTTTCTGGACGGGGATCCCTTGGAGAGGGGATTCCTTCCTGCAAGACCCCGTCCAGAAAATGCGGGGAGCGGCAGTGGAGACCTGGGGCTGTTTCTGCTGCGACCGCTGGACTGTGGGGCTGGGAAGGGGGCGGGAAGAGGGGCGGGGCTGGCGGTGGCCGGCGGTGGCAGGCTGGTTCGCCTCCTCCTCCTCCAACAGCACTGCCGGATCCAGTTGTAGCCACCTGCAAAGGACTTCCACACGTTTCCTTTACAGAAATCTCTGTGCGGCAGATAGAAACTGCTGCGCGGGGTTTTCTTGCAACGTGCGTGGCCGCGCAGCCGCGCACCTTAGAGGGAACAGTGCTTGGTTGTCTCTTGTTCTGCATTTCTAGCTGTTGTGTAGAATGCTTACTGGCCTGCCTTACTAGTGCTCCTATTCCTGCACATGGGGAACAAATTCAGGTGCTTCTGGCCTAAGTGCTCCTGGTCCAGTACTTGTGTGACATGGGTGGTCCACTTCAAAGATCTTGAGTGATAATAACCAGTTCATATAGCTCTTCTCCTAATCACTGTCCTCCTCCTCCTCCTCCTCCTAGTCCTCCTCTTTCTTCGGCACAGAACGCGGATGTATAGAGATCACTGCACCTCTCCTCTCTGGCTGGGGTTCCACTCAGTAATGTATGCTGCCGGGAGACACGTACTCCCTAATTCAAAGGTAGGAGATGGTTTCTGTACCACATCTTCAGTGGTCCCATGGCCTTGTCTGGGTGGATCCGGTATACTGGTATACTACTCACTGGTTTCTCACAAACAATGTAGAGTTGGGAGCTCCACCAATAAGCTGGTTTATGTTTCTCTAGGTTGCCCAGATTCCTCAGTAGCACTTAATCACTTAACTGCAAGTTCTGGATTCTCACCTTCAGGTCATTAATCCTTTTGTTCCTGCAGTTTCGGATCTCTGAGATAGACTGGGCCCTCTCATATGCAGTTTTCAGATTCTTCTTCAACCTGTCCACATAATTTCAGACAAGGCCAATGTGATGTGGTCTAATGAAACTCCAAATGCTAAGTCTAATGGCAGTTGGGCTTCCCTACCAAACATCAGCCATAGGGAGAATATCCAGTAGCCGCATTTTCCATACTGTTGTATGCATGCATCAGGACAGAAATGTGTCCACTCCAGTGCTGCTTTTGTTCTGCAGTTCAGTATTCCCAACATATAAAGGAAAATGTGGTTACACTTCTCAGGCTGTAGATCTCTTTGGGGATAATAGAGAGTGGTGTATGATTTCTGGATGCCCAACAAGTTGAGCAATTGTTTGATGAGCCAACCTGTCAAAGTCTCTCTCTTGATCAGAGTGTATTCGCTGGAGCAACCCATAATGAACGAAGAAATTCTCCACTAGAACCTAGGCTACCATGACTGTCCATTGGTTTTCATTGGGAATGCTTGTGCATAATGAGTGGTCTGTCACCACTAACACATTCCCCTGCCCATTAATATCAGGTTCTAGATACAGAAAGTCAATTCAGACTAGCTCCATGGTCCTTGACAGTGTAGGTGGAGCAGACCTCAAAGATAGGGTCTTCTGCTGAATGCAGCATATACAGGACCTGCAGTTCAACTTCTGCTCTCATACATGGCCAATAGAACTGATCCCTCAATGGTTTGAAGGTGCTTTCTTGCTCCAAACATACATGCCCGTTGTGTAATGTGAATAGTACTGCTTCTCTATGTTTCTCTGGGAGGAACAGCTGCCACTTTTCCTTGAGGCCACTGGAGAGGCCCCTCCAATAAGACACCCCACTCCGAAGTTGGAACCGGTCACATTCTTTAAGCATAAGCCAGACTGTTTTCAGGGAGTTGGTCAACAAGATTTCCCAACGACCATTCTGCACAGGCTTCAAGGTCAATCCACAGAGTGGCTCTTCCACCTGATCCCTTCTCAAATTCTTCTTGCTTAATAGCTAGCATCCCCACTTCTCTCATCTGGGTGAGATTGCAGTATAACATGAAGACACTCATATTGTGACCCCAACAACCTCCACTCCCACTGTTCCTCTAACCCAGTTTTCGATCCTTTGATATATGGCTTGTATAGCATTTGGGGATATCCTAGTCTACTCTTTGCCAGTGGCCCTAGTGCCATGAGGCCTTCTCAATAGGGCATCTGCTTCTCAGTTTCCTATTCCGGACCAGTATTTTAGGCTGAAACGGAATCTGGACAAAGCAGCTAACCACTGATGTTGTGTCGAAAGTTTCCGAGTATCCAATAACTGGGGGGCCAAATGTTAGCTGAATATGTAGATACCCTCATAGGGGAATCTCTCCAATGTCCCAAATTTCCAAATGGCCCAACTTTTGTATTGTCAGGTGCTTCAGGTGCCTATCGTGGCAATCCTGGTACAGTAATATCTCTTGTGCATCCAAGAAGGCCTTTGTGTAAATTTTCTACTTTATCTAGTAGTAGGTTATGATCTACATTATCAAATGCCTTATTGAAGTCCAAGTAAATGATATCAACAGTATTCCTGTGGTCTACCAATTTTGTCACAAATATGTGACAAAATAACCTACTACTGGATAAAGTAGAAGAATGTGGGCTAGACAGCATCACCACCAGATGGATTTGTAACTGGCTGCTAACTGCACTCAACGTGTAATCCTCAATGGAACTGCATCTGCATGGAGGGAAGTATGCAGTGGTGTACCCCAAGGCTCTGTTTTAGGCCCAGTGCTCTTCAACATCTTTATCAATGACTTGGATGGGTGGCGAATTCATCAAATCTGCAGATGACACCAAGCTGGCAGGAACAGTGAACACTCCAGAAAACAGGCTTAAGATACAGAAGGATCTTGACAGGCTTGAACATTTGACGCTGTCTAACAAGATGAAATTCAATGGTGAAAAGAGTAAGGTTCTACATTTAGGCAGGAAAAACAAAATGCACAGCTACAGTATATGTAGCTGTATACAGTATATGTGGTACCTTACTCAATAGTAGTAACTGTGAGAGGGATCTTGGAGTCCTAGTGGACAACC